CACACACACACACACACACACACACACACACACACACACACACACACACACACACAGAGTTTTTTTTTTCAGAAAACATATGCACACACTGAGTCTTTAGAGATACGCGTTTAGTGAGATTAGTTGGACATAAAAAATCTTTTTCTTTTTCTGCTGCAATTTCCTTAGTGCTTGTTTTCCTCTGACCTCGGACATGATTCAAACACAACTGAAACACATCACACCTTGCTATATTTTTTCAATCCTGTGCCTAACAGGAAAAGCTGAAAGCTCTCGCTGAAGCACTCATACAGTGACATATTGGATAACAGCTTTCGAAAAGTGACCTTTGACCCTGGAGCAGCAATGGATAAGCTCTGCAATGATCAACCAACTGGTCACAACTAGAATTCCAGTTTCTGCTTTGAACACTGACTCAGACTCTGATAACCTTTAGCACTCAGCTTTATTTTAAGTTGCAAGCATGAGCAGTCGAGGCAGACTCAATAAGTCAGTAGACTTTTAAAGTATAGGTCTTCAGTCAGCAGAAACAGCATTTCCATACTGGCACTGGCAAATTTATTTTAGTTAGAATGTCATTGATAATATGCCTGCAACCCACCTGTTTCTATAATTATTCAAACTAGCTTGATATTTATCTATTTAACCACATTGCAATGATTTTTGTTTTTTTCTTTGTCAGTGTTTGGTGTCAGCTGTGAGGTTTTAAATAATCTCTGTCTATGATGTCAGATAAATATAGCTGGCTGTTCAAATGAAGTCCACATCATATGAATAGTAGCTTAGCTCTGAGCTTAGTACACGCTTGTCTGCAAATGCTGCTAGACGCCTGCCGGTAACTCTTTTGTGGAGCTTTCCATGACGAGGTACCTAAGAACTTTAAAACAATCTGACCTTACCTTAAACAAGCTATCTGCTGAGCACATCCCCCGTGTGCATCCACTTTCTGGATTTGACATCATGTGCAACTTCAGCGGGCTTCCGGCCACTTGCATTCTTTTCAAATGATCACAGTGGTTAGCATTTTATTTAGATAGCAAATGGAGTCACAGAAGAGAAGCTGCTAGTTCATGCTTTCTAAGATGAAAATATTAGCATCAGAATTTTTGCATTCTGATGTCACATAATGATTTACTGTTTGTCGGAATTAATTTATATCTGATTTTCTTCCATGTTTGCTCATTTTACTCTAAAAGATTCAAAGTTCAAAACATTATTTCCACACTAAACCCAAAATTAGTCAGTTTTTAAATTTCACGCATGCTTTGTTGAATAAAAATAAGTTTTATCACAATGACACGCACCTTTCTCTAGAACAGATGGAATACCTGTTACTCTATCACTTTGGGATACTTCCATGTCCATAAGGACACCCACTGCCATCACCACCACCTTCCTCAGAGATCAGTCAATGTCCATACTCTTTGTGTCCAAAAAAGACTTTTTCATCAAGTCTATTTGCAGAGTTTCTTCAAGTGTAATGAGCTCGAACAGCCATGCAGCATTGATACCGACATCACAGACACAACAACAAACCTAGCACTGCAACACATTTCATCTCCTCCCCTCTTGCAGATGACATACCACTTTCAACACCATTTTTCAGAGGGCAGATATGCACCAGGGAAAGAAACAGAGAGAGAGAGAGAGAAGTCTTACATGTTCATCTGCTTCCAGTTTGTTTAACTAAGGAGTGGGTCTCAGAGGGGGTGAAAGGACTTTTCCCATATTCCATTCTAAATTTAATACAAAAACAAAATGCCTGGAAGGTTAAATTAATCAAATTCAAACAATTCAAGTGCATGAACAAGGATTTTTTTTTAAACATCTCAGCCAAGGAGCATGTTTGTGTAACTGTGCCATGTGGAAAATTACTAATTCATATCTTTGGTGTTGTTGTTTTATTAGTAAGGTTTACAACCACAAGCCACTCTGTGAGAAAACGCTAAACCTCCATAGGTGTGTACAGCCAAATTTGTAAAAAGTGTTTTTTATGTGTTGTACACCAAGGTGTGAACTAAAAAATATTAGTTCACATCTTTGCTGGTATGCTATTCACCTAGTGAATACTTTCTTGTCATTCAGGATTGTGAAATCTGAATAAACCTACTTAATGTCTGTTGCTGTAGACACATAACTGAGGCATTAACTCTTCCTGTGTACAAAAGACCTGTTTGAACTCTATGTAAACCACGTGCTTCTGCTGAAGCTGCTTTCTGCTTCATGGCCCCTCAAATTCAAACAGGGATTATGCACAAACATATCCAACAACAAGAGCTGAGCTTAACAAGTTCTTACATCCCTTATACCCTTTCATTGTATGATTTCTTTCTTTTCTACACTTAGCTACTTGTCTATCATTTTAGCCCAGTGTTACTCTCCTTTACTGCTCCAGGCAGGGTCGCACAACTTCCCAAAGAACTAACCCCATTTCACTAAGAGTCCTAAATCAGAAACTCATACCATCAACGCCTTCCTTTGACACGGAGTTAATCTTTATCAGAGATGCTAATCTTTGACCTCAAACTAAAAGAAAGCCCTGACACTAGGAGAAGGAAAGAAGGGGAAGGGGGGTTCCTGGGGTTTACCAGAAGGTATGATGTGGGGGTCGAATTGTTCTTTCTGCTCCTGGGCCATGAAAAGTGCCAAGCTCACCAAGCCTGTCAGGCATAGGTTGAACAGGGATGGATGTGACCTCCCATGCAAGTGTGTGTGTGTCTGTTGGGGGGGTGGGGGGTAGTATTCACAAAGTCAATGGTCAGCTAATTACCTTTTTACCTAAATGTGTAATATTGAACAAAAGCTCATTGCGATAGGAAAAAGCTGATAGTTAATGATACAGTCAGCAATGTCTCAAAAATTTCCAAGATTTTCCAAATATTTTTTTTAAATGTAAGATTTCACGTATACCTATAAATATCAAATTGCTCTTAACAGTATGTAGACTGTAGGTACGAGGGAATAAAACCTGGCAGTTATAAAGCAATTAGACTGTAAATGTTACTCATGGGGAAGGAAAGGACATACATTACTAATAGTGGTGCGGGCTACTGAGCATATTAAACTCCACTTCTTACATTGTAATTAAGCATTACTTTTAGATGTGTAGACTTCCTGACTTTTATCTAAATTCATAATAAAACACCATATAATATAAATACTGCATATTAAAATGAAATTGTTTATCTGTAAATATTACATTCAAATGTAATAGATTTCAAAAGTGACCTAAAATTTGAGTCAGTCTGTAATTTGTAACGTTTTCATTTTGATTCGTATGTCTAATAGGTGGAACCTGGTTATATTTCATTTTTAATATTTCTTTATTCACATCTAAGACAGACGCATAGATGGTGATTATATTGGTCAGTATTGTGCACTGCTGAAACCTGTTACAGGTAGTGACATGCAGGTATGTATGTATACAAGACATACAAGACCCACCATGAATAGTGATGGGTGGGTGGTGGGCGGGGATAATGGTGGTAGTGGGATTACACAGTCGGTTCTTTCTGGATCATATGCTGAAGACCAAAAATAATGACATCACAGAGTTTTGTACCGCATCAATATTTAACTCACTTTGACATAGATTATTTATTAATGCAGAATAGAATGCTGCCACTTGTAGAGTTCCATTAGATTTGGTGTATTATTGTGGATCAGAGGAGAATAAACGTAAGCTCTCGTTTGACCATGTTTTTTGTAGAATTTGTCATTGTTGGTATGTAGGCTTTCTGGACATGCAGCCATTGTGGCTGCCTGTTGGTCAAAAACAATCATTTTCTGCATTTGAGAGTTAGTCCATCTAGGGACAGAAGCATCCAGTGATATGTGTCTATAGTAATTTGTGGTTTGGCAGGGCTTTCAAAATGGATTTTCCTAAGTTGTTATTATATAGCCTCATTACACTGAATGTTGAACAACCTGCACCACTATAAAAGGCCTGCATCCATTTCCTGACAACATGGTCCTCTTATGATGCAAGTTTCAGAAAAAGAAGCCAGTGACTGTAATATAATCGGGCCACTTGGCCTAGCAGCAGACAGTAGTGTGTTACAGCGGGAGAAAGCAGCTTTATGGATCTCAGCCAGACCTGTCAGGCTTTATACACAGCAACAGTGTTAGTTGTGCTTGCCCCTACTATTTTACTATGATTGGTATTCTGCCCATACTTTGTCAGTGATACACGAGGAAATCGATTAAATCACAGCTGTGCTAGACTTGCTGTGGGTTTTCATAACTTTTTGCTCTATACTTAGCAAAATACTTCAAGGTAAGTCCAGAGGATCTAACCACTGTTACACGAGATGGCATAAGCAACTCAGATTTAGCCTGGATGATACAGGGTGTGAGTATTTGATATGTTCAGCATTTTAGAATATGGCCGTTTTTTAAACTTGATTAAAATCATATATATCAGTTGACATTAGATGTAAAAAATACACAAGAACAAACAAGCTAGGATTTTTGAAATAACTGCTTTCTTAGAAACAACAGAAGACAGCACTTTTGCTTTTGGCTTTCCAGACTGGTGGATGAGAGCTCTCAGGAATAGCTCTTCTTATAGTTACCAAACCTTTAAGTGTTTCTCTTTAATAATAATAATAATAATAATAATAATAATAATAATAATAATAATAATAATAATAATAATAATAATAGTGGGCTGTTTTCCTTGGATGAGTGTAGTTATTATATCTGCAGTTCATAAACAATATGGAGACTACATAAATGAATAAAGTCACAGTTTTGACTCTGAAATCTTGTTCTTTCGCAATAAATGTGTTAAGGGGTTCAAGAACTGATGGTTGTATGGTAAATCTATATTTAATGCACTTTTTTGTGGACCTTAATTTCTCACCTCAGCCATTGTATAATTTGATTGTGATCCAGTTTTGCTTATGGTGTTTTCATATCCTTGTGCTCACTCAATAAATGGACCCACGTCTTGGTGTAAGG